ATTATCAATGAAACATCCAGCAGGAGAGCCCTGACCTATCAACACTGTTACACCTGGAGGTTGAACCATCCTGGATATTTATTGAATTTTTTACACTTTAAAAATTTTCACCTTCTTACAGATTTTCTCAGCTTTGTCATTTAAACGTTTCAGCTGACACAAACTAATTTCAAACTTAGTGAACTTTAGTAAACGTGAAAACATGTTTTCAAATGATTAAGAGGTGGAGCTCAGCTCCCCAGAAAGGTTGGTGGACTCCCCCAGAGGGGGGAAAGACTAAAGCCTAGTTTATGCTTCTGCATCAGCTCCACAAGGAAGAGACGTACATGCACTGACAGAGGCGTTTTGCTCTCTGGCTTCTTCGTCTCCTGGAGAGTGGTGCAAAGCAATTCCCTGCCAGGACAACAGAGGGCGAAGTATTCGGTCCAAGGTGGTGCATTTACTATTGTGTTTATGTTGTGTATTTTGTATTTCTTGTTTTTTTTTTTTTTTTTTTTTTTGGTCTATGGGACGAAACTAGAGAAATTAGAGAAAACCAGCACATGGATAACAAAATGCTAGCTCTGCACTGAATGACCACATCTGAGATTTTAACCTGCAACCTTCATGCTGCAAGGCAATACTACCAGCTGTGTTGCATTTTGCCTATTTCATTTTGCCAGAATGTTTACTATCCAATCAGACCTGGGTGTGGCTTCTGAAACAAACAAAAAAATAAAACCTTAGCTTTCTAAATAATTTTAGTTAATTAGTTAGTTCATAACTTTCCAAGATGCATTTACTTTTCACATGGGACAAGGTTGCTTTGATGGCTTTTTCCCACTGGGACTGGATATTTTTACAGGCACTACCTGGGTAGGTCAGTTTAGGGCTTCAGGAGGAGCCTATCAGCCTTTCTGGGGAGCCGTGCTCCCCGTAATTCCAACTCTGGATTTGGGGTCAAAAAGTTAAAACAGAAGGAATCCATGAGGGGCAAAAACTTTTTTTGTCAGTCGTTTTGGTCCCATTTTTGTAAACTGTATATTAGTTTTCTCTGCAGAGGATGGGATTTGATGTCAATCAGGCCTACGGTTGTGAAATTTTATTAGAACAAACATTTTTATCTGGTTCATCATAATCATTTGGCTTGGAAAGTTTTCGGCCGTCTCATCCATCTTTTATGTTTTCCAATTTTTTATAACTCCCTTTGAATGAATAATGAACAATAAACGTGCAACCCCATTTTTCATAAGTCATAGGGTTAGGACATCACAAGGCAGCACCCCTAGTGTTCACTCCTGGGTTCCTGGAGGTTTTAACAAGAGGTTCAGCCCTGCTGATTCTGCAGATCTCTATCCCTTTGTGCAGTAATCAAGCTCCAGCAGCCCTCTTAAGTGTGATCTGCCGCTGAGCAAGCGTGTCTGCTTAACACGTATTGTGACTCGTGTTCACTCTGTAGATTTACAGAAGGGGTAAGCAGCTGCAGCTCGGAGAGATAACTGCTGTGACCCAAGGGAAGGAAATCTGCTGCAGTTTTAGAACAAATTAAACCGCTCAGCGTGAAGTTTAATATGCAACTGTCGAAATGTATAAACAGTTTTAGGAAGTAGTCAAAAGTAGCTCATCAGGCAACGTTATGGTTTCAGGACTCAGTTCAGTTCACTTAATGCCTCGACCCAAAGGTCACACAGATGGTTGAAGATTTATTATTTGTGAAGGTCTGATAAAAAGAGCCGCACACACCAGTCAAGCTCCCAAAGCAAGGTTTTTCATTGGTGGCATTTTGAGTGACTGCCGTTCCTCACAATAACAAAGTCTAAGAGAGTTGTTGTCTTTGAGTAGTCATACAACCACATACATGAATGAATATTTCCACACTAAAACTCATAGAGGTGTACATGAAAAACATTTGGTTATAAGTCATAAATTATTATAGAACACTGTGGAGTGGACTTTACAGTAACATTATTCTGTCTGCTGGTAGCAGAAAACTCCCCCAAATAATCAAAATATAACCAATGTTGGGCTGTTTTCTGTCAGAAACAGGAATGTGACAAAAAGTGGTCTTCACTTTTACGGAAAAGCATCATAAAAAACTCTCTGAAGTCAATTGCAGGTGCTTATAGACCCCTTGGCACGTGACGTCACGTGCCCAAGCCTTCGCCCACTAGCTTCTGGCAAAAAGACAGCACCCCCCCGTTGACCACTGAGCTAAATAGTGGTGAAAAAATCGGTGGTTAACACATGCAGCACTGTGGGCTGCACAAACAGACTAGAGGACCGCACTATTTTAGAGAGGAGATTCAGGCTCCCTATACCAGTAGGTCCCAAAGTTAGGATTGGGACTCTGCTGTATCGCATTGTTTGGAACAATTAAACAATTTAATTGTTTGATTTACAAATCATTTTTTAAAAATGAAATCCAAACAAATTACACTGCCTGGCCTAAAAAAGTCACTATCTGGATTTAGCTAAGCTAATAGGAGCCTCCAATTGTATATTTACCAAGTGGGCGATTATCTTTCAGCTGGCAACATGTTTTTTTAACCCCAGATCATTGGCATGCATGAAGCAGAGAAAATGTCTAAGGAGATTGTAGAAACGACTGAAACTGGGTTACGAACTGTCCACGCATTACTAAAAATTGGTCTGATGAGCCCAGATGGACCCCGTTCCAGAGTGATGGTGCATCAGGGTAAAAAGAGAGGCAGATGAAGTGATGCACCCATCATGCCTAGTGCCTACTGTACAAGCCTGTGGGGGCAGTGCTATGATCTGGGGTTGCTGCAGCTGGTCAGGTCTAGATTCAGCAACAGGATGTGCTCCAAGAATTAGGTCAGCTGACTAGCTGAATATAGTGAATGACCAGATTATTCCTTCTTCCCTGATGGGAAGAAGGCACGAGCATATTCCAAGATGACAATGCCAGGATTCATCGGGCTCAAATGCATGAGACATCATTTTCACACATGGATTGGCCACCACAGAATCCAGACCCTAACCCCATTGAGAGTCTGGGATGTGCTGGAGAAGGCTTTGTGCAGCAGTCGGACTCTACCATCATCAATGCAAGATCTTGGTGAAACATGAATGCAACACTGGATGGAAATAAATCTGGTGACACTGCAGAAGCCTATCGAAACAATGCCACAGTGAATGTGCACTGTTATCAAAGCTAAAGGTGGTCCAAAAAAACTGTGTGTGCGACTTCTTTTTAGGTAGGGAATTTGTTTTGGTCAGGAAGTTTAGCTAGAGGCAGCACTTAAGCCCCACCCCAAAATATGTAGGCTAATCAGTGTTTGCAAACATTAAAATGGACTATAGCACTCAGTCACTTTTAATCAAATATAATATGTAATCAAATAAAACTTAATTTGAAATTTAGACCCAAATGAGTATAAATATATTTTTCTTTCACATAAAATGAACTTAGTTTAACATTCCAGGCTTTAAGCGCCAGGGTTAGGGCTAGGCCTTTCATTTGTTCTGTTGCTCTAATTTAGCAAGGGACAATAGAAGCACTTTAAGCTAGATGGAGGATTTAGTGTTGGAGTAATCAAGTTGGGAATTTCTGGAGACTTCCCCTGACCAGTAAACAATCTGAAGCAGGGTGAGTGAGTCATGAGTCGGACTAGGACTCTGGACAGCCTCATCAGTCAGATCTGTTTGTATTCATGGATAATTTGGGCATTCACGGGGGGGGGGGGGGGGGGGGGGGGGGCGTTTACATCTATTGCAAGTAAATTCATTCTCCTGAAAGGTAAGTATTGTTGAGATGTGTGTGTGTGCTGGTAATTATAATGATTGAAATTGGGGAGCAGCCACTGCTCCAAATTACATTTTCATGTTGGCCTGCATATCAATGGTAATATAAGAAACAATGTGAGTGCGTGCGTGCGTGCGTGCGTGCGTGCGTGCGTGCGTGTGTGTGTGTGTGTGTGTGTGTGTGTGATTAATCCAGCCCACCGGTGCACCTGTTTTAAGGAGCTTTTTCTCTCCTCTATCTGTTCTCAGGTCAGCTGATAGCTTCAGCATTAACCACCAAAACCTTTTGTGACGTCAGACGAGACACATTAGTCAGGATTATTATTACGGGTCAGAAAACCAGCTGAGCCTCAACTTCTTTTATCAACACTGTCCTCCTGCAGCGCCTTCATGAACATCCATTAGAGACTAAAACGTCCTTAGAACTCTAACAGCGTGTTGATTTATTTCAGGTGTAGCTCTCATTACAAGCCTAATGTGTAATTCTGCAGCACAATATCATCATTTCATTTCATTATCATAAAAATAGAGTCTTCCCAGCCTAATATGCAAACCAGTAAATATGTTTTAGCTACATTTCTACAGATAATTTTCTTTTTTCCAGACAAATTAGAAGACATGAAAATTGCCTGATGTTGTCTTCTAAATTGACTCTCCGTAAGGAATTAAAGTACCCTGATTTGCCTTTTAGGTAATAAAAACAATGGTTGAAATTTAAGTTTTATTTAAGGAAACACCAGGAAACAGTTTTTATTCCATTTGTCAATTATTTTAGAGGAGCAGCAGTAGCTCAGAAGGTACAGTTGTTCAGTAATGAGTGGGTTGTAGGATTGAGAATGCTGCTGTTGTGTCCTTGGGCAAGACACTTAACCCACCTTGCCTGTTGGTGGTGGTCGGAGGGACCGGTGGCACCTGTATATGGTAAACTCGCCTCTGTCAGTGCGCTGTCTTTAAACCTCCCATGTTGTTATTGTAGAGGCCATTTAAATTTTTAACAAATGTCACTCTCCATAAAAGTAGGCCAACACACTGCCTCTTTTTCAATTTCATACAGTAAAGTCCAAACGTCCAATTTACAGGTTCTTCCGTGTGTTTTGGGACCAGTCATTCACTTAAACTGATTGGGTAGGTCTTGAATCTTGTACTGAAGCCAGCCACTAGGGAGACGATCGTTTGTTCCAGTGTCTGGTGAAGTCTAGCACTACAGATCCAAATCCATAAATGTGTTCAATCATCTGGACTCTCTCTCCCTGTAGGTGTGTCGATGCCCATCCCAGTGATTGGTCTCCACAACGAGGACAAGGTTTTCGTCAACGGCAGCTGTGCCCTCAATGAGGAGCGATTCATGCTGATTGGTTCCTTTGTGGCCTTCTTCATCCCACTGGTCATCATGGTGGTGACGTACTGCCTCACCATACAGGTAGACTTTAATAGGTCTGAGCTGCAAGCCAATCAGACATTTCTACACTGCATCTTGAACCTTTATTTGCTCTGTTTTCCATCTGTAGGTGCTCCAGAGGCAGGCCACAGTCTTCCTGCATCAGGCAAGGACTTCTTCCCAGCAGCGTTTGAGCACACCAGCAATCACTCTGCAGCCTCCTTCGAGCCCATTCCACCTTCCTCAAATCAATACCCTCGCTCCCCCAGACCCACAAGGTGAGCTCTAATCTGCACCTGGAACCTTCGTCAAAACTACACTTGGTGGTAACTCGCATCATTTCTGTAAACTTCATTACCTTTTATTTGCTATTTCCTTTCTTTGAGTTCATTTCGAGTGGTTTGAGTGTTGCTGCGTTATTTAATCTCACCTTTTAAAAATGAGAGAATGGCAGCTTAGCTCCACCACTACGCTACCAACCAAACAGCAGTTCCTATTTTAGACCTACAGACAGATCCTTTTTAACCCTTTACAGGAAATAGTTTTGTTATAGAAGCAACAAAAACAAGGCAAGCGGGTAGAATAAAGTAGGTGTATTTAAAAGGGGTTTGTACATCAGTGGCACCGCTGCCAATGCACCAGTTGGCCATAAGGATATCCACCCAATCCTCTAAAGCATACACATGCATAAATACATATGTTATAAATTCAATTCAAGTTTATTTTTTATTATACATTGTGATTTCTTAGTAAATATTCTATTTAGTGAGAGATAAACTTGATTGTATTTATCCTAGTGAATCTATAATTAAACGGGTAAACTAGTAGTAGCACATTCAATGTCAAAGAAAGTAAAATGTTATCAGGAGAGGGAGAATGTTTAAATGGTTATCAGCAGTGTTCAAGCCGATGGTCCCCACCATGAGGCCACCACAGCTCAGCAGAACACCACTGTAGCTTCTTCTGGTTATCATCAATACACATGAACACAAAACAGGGTGAAAAGTAAAACGTGCGGCGTTTGGACCAAAAGAACAAGAACGATAGATTGCATCCAGGTGGCAAATGCACCATCAAATCTAAAGGAGTCAGCTTAGATGTTCAAGATGACTCCCATTCATCTCCCTATGCAGGTACCTTTGGTAAGGTCTTCTGCTAGTAGACCCTGGAAAAAGACAGAACTTGATGGAGGGATTTTATACAATTTGTGGCCTGAGGACAGCCTGGACTCTTCTATGAGGAGCTGAGCGTTTCACTGGGAAGAGGGAGGTCTTGGCTATTCTACTTGGAACCTGTCTTTGGATAATTGATGAAAAGCCTCTTAAACTCTGAGTGAAGATTACAGAGTGATGTGTTTTACGACATTCCAAATAATTTAACGTGTGTGGTTGGTAGCTTAAGGGTCCTTTGCTGTCCCATTGAAGGGTACATATGCCTTAGGGGAAGGCTTTGATTGGTTGGCAGATTTTACTGGGATATTATTAGGTCTAGGTCAGTATCAGTGTGTAGACTAGGCAAGCAAAATATTTTATTGTAGTAATAGGAGTTGTGTTAATTACTTTAGTCTAATGTATGGGTCCGCCTCTCCAAGGGGAGATGTTCTAGGAGACAGTACAACAAATAGAGCTCTCTTTAGGAAGAGGCAATCAGAGCATGTAAACACACTTGGTTATTCACCAGTTCTATCCGCTAGAAGCTTCCAATCCAATCCAATCCAATTTTATTTATAAAGCGCATTCACAAGGCATTACAACCAAACAAGGCGCTGTACACTAAAAATGTTAGGTAATTAAACCGGCGTTATACAAACATGTCGAACACAGATAAAAGATAAAAAGGAAATACAACAAAAATTCCCGAAACTGACAGCCAGAAATCAATAAGACACAGGGTGAATAAAAAATTAGAAAAACATTTTAAAAAGAACCTCAATAGTACGGAAGTCGATAATTGTGGTCAGTTTATAAACAGTGCAGATGTCAGTGAGGTTCATAATTATGTGGTATAAGCTAGGTTGAAGTAGTGAGTTTTCAAGCGTGATTTAAAAATGCTAGCTGTTGGTGCTAGCCTCACTAGCAGTGGTAATGCGTTCCACAGCTTCGGTGCACAGACAGAGAAAGCCCTCTCTCCACGGCTTTTTAAACGTGCATTGGGAACAGCTAGGAGGAGCTTATCTTCAGACCTGAGAGCACGCGGCGGGTTGTAGTAATGGACAAGTTCACACTGATATGGAGGAGCTTGATGGTTCAAGGATTTGTAAGTGAGAAGCATAATTTTGAAGTTTATCCTGAACTGCACGGGCAACCAGTGGAGAGATTTCAGAATTGGAGAAATGTGTTGTCTTCTGTCAGCTCCAGTCAGCAACCTAGCTGCTGAATTCTGGACCAGCTGAAGTCTAGAAAGAGCTGCTTTACTGATGCCGTATAAGCAGGAGTTGGAGTAATCCAGCCTTGGAGTGATGAAAGTGTGGACCACAGATTTCAGAAAAGCTTACGAGCCCCCAAGTGACCGTGGCAATTGGCGTGTTGACCTGCATTCCTAGACCATGGTGACTTGTGCCACTAGTCCAGCCCACTTGACTGGATTTGACTTTTACAATGGGTACAATAGAAATAGTGATTCCATGGTATACCACGGAGGTATTCTTTGTTTCTAGATGACTATCTTAAATCAAGAGATGTTGCTAAATGCTGAACATTCACCCAGTGACCCTTTCACACGCCACTCTTCTATTTCACCAAGAGGATCTTGTTTCTAAAAGTAGAATCATGCCTTTTTCAGATGTATGTTCTGTAAAAAGGCCAAGTCAGGTTGCAATACTCTCTGAACTTGTACTCCTCTGTGCTGTACAACACAAGTGTGCGTTAGATTGTGTGTATTCTCTCTACATGGATCACTAGGTACACACTTCCTGCTTACCTGAAGCTGAAGCTTTACCCATCGTGTAACACATTATACATTTATATCCATCAGCTGCATCTCTAGGCCTTTTATGGGACTGTCTGATGGCTTCCTCCAGGCCTAGAAATGAAAATACATTGTTTGTTCCTATGACAGTCGGTTATACATCAATTTTAGGATTTCATTGTAAACTGTGTGTTGGAGCTTCACAGGTGAAGCAAAAAGAGGGATTGGATGGCAGCCAGTGGGGATTTGGGGAAAAAAGATGATTCATCTGACAAGAAAACACCGATTCTAGCAGTTTTAACAGCATTTAGACTGTTTGGTGTTTAGGTATGTGGTCTTTCACTGTGTTTTATCCTGTTACTTATACACCAAGCAGAAAAAGGTATAAATAAAATATAAACTTCCTCCTTGACCTTTGCTTTGCCTCCCTACAAAGTGTTCATTAATCTTTGAGCTGACTGTCGATCCCCTCTTTTTAGAGCTGAAGGCCCCTCTCCCTCAGAGCAGGCGCAACACCCTGAGCTGCCTGAAGGGCACAGAGCCCAGCACCCTGCTCAGCGCCTCCACCTCGGACAGCCTCAGCATCATCCCCAGCTCAGAGGTGGCGTCACAGCTCAGTTCTCCGGCCACCGGGCCGGGGCGGAGCGACTCCTCTGGTTGCCAAGGGAGACGGGGGATGATGCAGGCCATAAACAACGAAAGGCGGGCTTCAAAGGTGAGAATGAACATGGAAGATAAGTCAGACTTTATTAGCTAGAAAGTGAATAATTTAAAATATTTGTTCAATTTTATGCTTTTTTCCACGTTTTGTCTATTTTTTAAAGTATTTTGTTATGATGTTGGTCCCTAAATAACAACATGACACCACTACCACCACATTACCTGCAACTGAGCTGAAGACTTCCAAACAAATTCAGCGAAAATAAACCCAGAAGTTCTGCATTCCTTTTGAGTCCATTCAAATTGTCTCTGGATAAATTTAAACACTCTCTCTGTGAGCGGCAAGATAGGTGAATGTTTCCGACGCAGATGTTTTCCTGCAGTGGATTTCAAACTTCTCCGCCGACATATTTAGAGCAGCTCATGTCGCGTGTTATCAAATCCAAGCAGGCGCTTTGAGGGACGTCAGTGTGCTTGGATGGCTGCCAGAGTCGGAGTGCTGGGAGCAAACGCGCTGAAGTCTTTGTGGGTGACGGGAAACGTCATCCACACAAAGTGTGTTTACCTGTATACAAATCATTAGAAGTAAAGTGATCTCAGGTCGATTTTGAAGAAAGTTCAAGCTCATTTTCAATTTTCCTATCCCTCAGGTCCTGGGAATCGTCTTCTTCCTCTTCCTCGTGATGTGGTGTCCTTTCTTCATCACCAACGTCACCTTCGTCCTGTGCCGCAGCTCCTGCAACGAGCTGCTTCTTCACGACCTCCTCAACGTCTTCGTCTGGGTGGGCTACATCTCCTCTGGGGTCAACCCTCTGGTCTACACCCTCTTCAATAAGACCTACAGGAGGGCGTTCTCCAACTACATCAGGTGCCGGTACAGCGCTGGGGGCAACGCTGCTGGACAGGGTTGCAAGACCCTCCTGGGTCCGTCGCAGTGCCCATCACACTCCGTCACCCCTCTCCTGGTGGGAGGTCAGGGTAAGGCAGGGATGGACCGCAACAGTAACTGCCGCAACGGCGGCAGGGGCGACAACGGGAGGCTGATGGTGGACCCGGAGGACACAACAGACGATGGGACGCAAATCGGATTAGTGTCACAGAGTCTGTCTGAATGCCACAACGCCGGCATGCTTTCAGAAACGGAGCCAGAAACAGAGCTGGAGCAGGAGCTGTCGCTCATCAGCTACCCTCCCTCCACAGAACACACTAGCAGCGTGTGACTGCATGCTCTCCTTTTGTCCCCTCGTCTTTTAAAACCCGGTTGAGCCGCACTTTGGTGGGCTGGCGCGGGTAGACTACAGCCTGTTCACCGGGTACTCCTGCTGCAGAAGGAACGGTCTTAATGAGGAGCCTCAGGAGTGAGTTTATCTACAAGGATCCCAACGGAAGGGGAAGAAAGAAGGAAAGGAAACCAACATTTCCATTATGTCTTGGTTGTTTTTAATGTGTCACTGAAAGCTCTGCACACAGATGAGCTCAGTGATGAAAAGGCATCTGCTTCTTCGAGGTCTGAGGTAAAAATTCAGACCTAGATGAAGTGAAAAACAAAGGCTAACTTGAATGATGTCAAGTCAACCTTGTATGCCAAGCAGGTGTGAATTCAAGCGGCTCTTCGTGGAGTCCCACTGAAGCAGGTCAGAGTGGAGCCCCAACCACGATGCCACCGCAGTCCAACCACGACTTCCAGCCCTCAGTCAATCACAGCTCAGCAGAGGGCAGACTCACTCTTACGCCAGTCAAGCTTGACGACAGCAGTCATGAAATCTGTCCCAAAGAACCTTTTCGTACCATTTAGCTGACAGAAATGGGACGTTTCTGCAAAAGGAAACGGTGGAAAGGCTGCAGTGAAAGTTTTCATAAAGAGAACAGAGATGAAGGAATGTCCAACCACTCCGGTGGACTCACAGTGCCATCTAGTGGTCACACACATCTCCTCTGGGTTTGACCAAGGAGACGAGAATAGAGCTAAAAATAAGAAACACTTCTGCTGATCCCTGTGGACACCTAATGGAGAATCAAGCTTCCAAATGTTTCTACTGAAAAAGTTTCAGATGTAAGAATAAACCGTTTTTGATAGAGTGCACAACTATTTTACTGATTGTCTTTATTAGGAACAAAACATGACTTTTTTACTCCAGCTGTTCACCTCCATTGTTGATGACTCATTAGCAAGATCATCCTTTGTCTTGTTCTGTCTCTCTATAAGCTAAGCATGAGCATTCACCGATTAGTGCGAGCTAGGCACAAGAACGACGTAAAAATGCAATATTTGTACCTTTTCTCTCATCAAATAGCTATTTCAGTCACTAAAGCTAGAGTTCATTTAAAAAGAGTAGAATACAAAATCATTGGATGCTCTGTTCTAGATGGAGAAAAAGACACAAATCACAGTTAAAATCCACATTTCATCAGATTCCACGTTAGAATATTCCCATCATCCCGAGCTTGAATCCCACATCATTTGTATTGAAGGCTTTTCTGACAGTGAGCCTCTGCATCTCTTACTTTTTAAATAAACTGGGATTTTCACCAGCCGCTGGTCCCATTTCTGATCACAGATTCATCCGCTGCACATTTTTGTGTAAAATGTGTTGATCAGAGACATGAGGTCAATCAAAAAGCCTCCACAGCTCTTGCGTGTTTTGCGTTTGGGTGGAAATGAATAATTCTAAAGACAATCAAATGATTAAAGCATTACTGCAACACGTGGCCTGGTGATCGTTTTGGATTCTAGTAAGAAAAAATACAAATATCTTTAGATAGATGATGTGTTTGAACAGCTGGCTGTGTGCAGACTATTGGACGTTGTAGAGGAGGGTATCATGTGGGAAAACCAAAAACTGAATAAAAAAAACATCTAAAACACAGGTGCTGGTCATAAAATTAGATTATCATGACAAAGTTGAGTCATTTCAGTAATCCCATCCAATCTTCTATATTAGATTCGTTCACTACACACAGACTGATATATTTCAGATGTTTATTTCTTTAATTTTGATGATTAGATCTGACAACTAATGAAAATCTTAGATTCAGTTAGTCAGATTATTAGAATATTTTGACATGGTTCAAATCTGGAAACCCTGGTGTCACACTAATCAGCTAATTAACTCAAAACACCTGCAAAAGCCTTTAAAAGGTCTCTCAGTCTAGTTCTGAAGGCTACACAAAGACTGCTGACTTGACAGTTGTCCAAAAGACGTGCATTGACACCTTGCACAAGGAGGGCAAGAGATAAAAGTTTGCTGCGAAAGAGGCTGGCTGTTAACAGAGCTATTAATGAACATAACATCTATGATAGCTTCCAGTCAGGTTTTCGTAGAGCTCATTCTACTGAAACAGCTCTTCTTAGGGTCTCTAATGACCTTCTGACTCACAGTGATGCAGGGGACTGTTCTGTTCTGGTCCTGCTGGACCTGACTGCAGCCTTTGACACTGTTGACCATCACCTGCTACTGGAGAGGCTGAGAGACTGGGTGGGCCCAGCAGGATCTGCTCTGGAGTGGTTCTCCTCTTATCTGTCTGAGCATTCCTTCTCTGTGGCCGTCTCCAAGTTTAGGTCCTCCACCACCTCCCTCCTCCTTTGTCTGCTCCCTCTTCAGCACATCCTGAGCTCCTTGATGACAGCCAACTGTACATCCCCCCTTAAGCCCCATGAGATGTCTAAGCTGCAGCTGTTACACACCTGCTGTCAGGATTCTTGGTGTGACCTTTGACCCAGCTCTCACGCTGGATTCTCATGTCCGTTCTCTTCCATCTCAGGAACATTGCTAAGCTGAGTCCCATTCTGTCTCGCTCTGAACTTGAGACAGTTATCCACACCTTCATCTCCTCGCGCTTAGACTACTGCAACTCTCTTTTCACGTGTCTGAGCAGAACCTCCCTGAACCGTCTGCAGGTGGTTCAGAATGCCTGTGCTCGGCTTCTGACCAAGTCCTCCAAACACACCCACATCACCCCGCTTCTCCTGCTTCACTGGCTGCCAGTCAACTTCAGGGTTCATTTCAAGATCCTGGTTCTGGTCTATAGGGCCTTACATGGACAAGCACCATCTTACATTGGTGATCTTCTTAGTCCCTACACCCCCAGCAGGTCCCTGAGGTCCAGTGATCAAAGCCCACTGGTTGTGCAGCACCAGGCTAAAGACCAAAGGTGACAGATCATTTGCTGCTGTGATAGTCTAATATTCTGAGATAGTGAATTTGGGATTTTCATTAGATGTCAGTTATATTCATCAACATTAAAATAAATAAATATTTGAAATATACCAGTATGTGAGTACTTAATGATTCCAAACCGCAAGTTTCACTTTTTGAATGGAATTACTGAAATAAATCAACTTTGTCATCATATTCTAATTTTATGACCAGCATTTGTATATTTAGAATCATAAATAAACATCTGATGCTTGTTCTGTTGGTCAGTCAGCCAGGGCTCCATGCATCTCCAGTCTGCAGAGGGGTTAACAGCTGACTGGTCCAAGCATAAGTGCTTTGGGATAGAATAGGATGCAGCCTCACGGCACTGAAAGTGCACTGGAGCAAGTTTCTGGAGTGGCAGTACGTTTTCTTTTAAAATGAATGACTTCAAGCCAGTACCAGCTAGTTCTGGAAACAAAATAAAACATCAAAATGGAAAGAATGAGTCTGGTATGACAGATGTTAGCAATAGCCAGAACTGGCCTATGTAGCAAAAACGGGGGCTGAACCTTACGAAAGTTTAGCTTCTGTTCAGGAATCCTCTTTTGGGAAGTGATTTTCTTCCCGCTTGGCTCTCATTGCATGCAGATGAACATCTTGTAAAGCTTATTTTTGTTATTATTTGTCTAAACTCACAAGTTCTTTACAACACCAAAATTGGTAATCCATATTTTTAAACTAGCAGTTTATTGGCTCTTACTTGCAGCACCTATACATAAATATTCTTATTTTAGAAACCCTTTATATCTAACCTGGTCATGTAAGGCCTCTGACGTGACCATTGCTTGTTGTCCAAACCTTGATGCAGTTTAGTCACAAAGTGTCTTAATTATGTTCAAGTTTGTTTGTTAGTAACCCCAGCTTTATTTAAGTTGTTCACCCGGCTTGAAACTGGCGGGTTTACGTTATTTGTTCCATTTGTTTTCTCATTAAAAGTCAAAAACAGCAAAGCTGTGTACCTTTATCATCAAGTAAAATAGAAAAATAACAGTTCAAAATGAGAGGAAACAGAAAACAAGGGCAAAATGACCAAGAAAAGTGTCGCAGTTTAATAACTACATGTTTCCAGTGTGTCTGTGTGTACCAGTGGCGCTGACTCGAGCTGCTGCCTGAGATTGATTTTCTGCTTTGTATTGATTGTGAGCAGCACAGCGAATTAAATCGAGACCAGATAGATGACAGCAATCACTGTGAAGAAATATGTGGAACTGTTTACAGTTATAATTTGATCCAGCTCGGGTGTGTGCAGATGTCAGTAGTCATTTGTTGGGTTTTCTTTTACTTTGATAGTTTTTTTTTTTTAGTTTATTGAATTGCACTTCTAGAGAAGCTGCAGAAATGAAGGCTAAGATTTTATCATCAATAGTCTATTAATTTGATGACCACTGTTAGATCAGTCAGCTCTCAAAAGCGAGCTGAAGGTTAGGCTAACTTAGCATAAACAGTAGAAGCAGTGAGAAAAAAAACCCTTCTAAATATTTCAGATTATTTATCTGCAAAAGGAAAAAAGTTCAAGCTGTTTGATGTTCCAATTTTACTTTAAGTCATTATAATTGTCCACATTTTAAGTTTAGCGAAGCAATTTGAGCTTTTAAGTAAAGGCTAATCTTAGCTAGGTCTGGTTTTCAGTTTTGCAATTTCTAGTTGAAACTCACTAAACTAATATTGCTAAAAAATGCTAAAATTCACTATAAAATGTGGTATAGAGATTTTTTTCTTTTAAATTATGGACTAAATCTAATGTATTTTAAACAAAAACAATCCCATATCAAGGCTAAAGCATAGGTTTAATGCTGGCATAGCTTTAGATGGGACGTGTTTATGAAATTAGTGGGTGTTTCTCAATGCCAAGGAACCTCGCCTTGATGTCTTGGTCCCGCCCCAGTTGCCTAGAAGATATGGCATCAGGAACCGCCAAGGCATGTTCCAATGTTCATGTTCTATCGAGGCGTCTGTTCTCCGTTTGTTAGCCGTTTAGCTAGCTGACCATGTATACATGGGAGGTGGTTTGTAGCCTGGCCTTCTTCAGTATTTTCAAAAGGATGGTGGTTCAGGAGCCGGCAGCTACTTCGGGAGAAAATTTCCAGCTTGAGTTTAAGTCAACCTATTGTAGCTATTCGGCTGATATCTGAAATGTTTTTTTTTAATCCAAAGACGTTATCTATGGTTGGTTAGTTGCTTAGTAGCTGCAGCTTCAGTGGCTAGCATCCAGTAACTCGCTTATATATTTAATTTAACAAATATTACACAACTTCAAAAGTAAAAATCTCGTTATACATTTATATTGAAACTTATACGTATAAAATATAACGTCACCTCACATGTCACATGACCGCCGCAGCTCCCGCCACATCTGACGTGACACAAGTCTGTTCCATTTAACCATTTTCTTTGACCAAGGAAGGACAGTGTCCTTGTAAGCAAGACGCTTGACTTTGCATGACATCGCCTTGCGAGGTCAGACGCCTTAACTTTGAGAAACACCCGGTGTGTCAGAAGAATTATCTTGCAACACCTGGGCCTCAGAACAGCCTCAACCTTTGTTGTTTTAAAATAAAATTAGTAAAACACGTAAAAGCTTAATTTGAGGAGGAATGTTATAATATAATATAATAACAATCACTAATCTGTAAATTGTCAAAACATTAGCAGGCACATGTATGCATTTTGTGTTACAGGATAGTTAAATTAATTTAGCACAAATGCTAACAAGTTAATTTTCTTCACAATGAAGCAAACACATGGATTTTTCTTTTTTTTTTACTTTTTAGTATTCTTGTTAAAAAAAAAAGATGGTAATGACTACATAATGTCTTGATATAAATGCCGAATAAGATACAAGAATGATGGATAAGTAAATTTCAGCATGGCCAGTGAGATGCTTTAAACCTTAATCCGGTATTAGAACAAACTCCTAAACTTTAACGGTTTAAATTGAAGTAGGTTAGCACTAAGAGGGTTACATTTGGCAATCCATCAAGCTTTTCATACGTTTAAATCTAGCTTTATTCGTCCACCCACCAGGCGATTCTGTTATTAAACTGCTCCGACACACACCCAGAGCATGACAAATCTTCACAGCACCTTCCTGAGACAAAATCTGACATCAGCCTCCTCTAGAGGCTCATTTGTGCTGACAGAGACCAACAGGCAAGGGTCAGTGAAGTCTTCTGTTCTCTCTGCCATTTTAACTGTGAATGTTTGTTTACGACGCATCTTGCTGATGTCATACTAAGAACATTCCATTATCATCCACAGAATGTATATTTTCTTTTTGTGTGATGCTGCAATTTATTTATTAAAACATAACTCTAATGTGTGGACAGTTTTCTTTTTTGTAATTTAATTTCATTTAATGGAAAGAAAGACAGACAGGAAACCTATGAAGTGTTTCTGCTGCTGTTTAGCTTTGCTGCCGGACTTCCTCTGAGCGTATTGAAAATCCTGTTTGAACCCGATGTTTTAAAAAAGACCAACAGCAACTCTACTGAACTGAAGATTATTATTATTACTATTATTAATACCATTTTCTGTACCTGATAAATGCTGGTTGGATTAAGACCTAACATCAGGCTGTCCATGTCAACTTCTTATCAACGTAGATGCTGGATCTGAGGCAGCATGATACGGCACAATTTTTATGCAAATTAGTACATAAGGAAAAATAATTTAGGTGGTTGACATTGATTCGTTTGAGAAGCATTTTACATAATTGCTCACTTTGAATGGGTTTTGCAGTGTTAAACATCAGAAAACGTCCTAGAAGGTGGACTTTATCCAATTTTAAAGAAGATTTGGTTACAGGAGAAACCCTACTCACTCTCTTACCATTGCACCTTAATGTAAGACTTTAAACCACTCAGTAAACGGTGTTAGAGTTGTCTAAAAGGATATCCTGAACTGTCTGTTGAAGCTTTAGGAGCACACCTTCATCTCCTCATGCTTAGACTACTGTAACTCTCTTTTCACGTGTCTGAGGAGAACCTCCCTGAACCGTCTACAGGTGGTTCAGAATGCCTGTGCTCGGCTTCTGACCAAGTCCTCCAAACACACCTACATCCCCCCGCTTCTCCAGCTTCACTGGCTGCCAGTCAACTTCACGGTTCATTTCAAGATCCTGGTTCTGGTCTATAGGGCCTTACATGGACAAGCACCATCATACATTGGTGATCTTCTTAAGCCTGGTTTATGCTTCTCCGTCAGCTCCGCAAGGGACAGACACGCACGGATTGACGGAAGCGTTTTACTCTCATACTTCTCCGTCTCCTGGAGAGCGTTGGAAAGCAATTCCCCGGCAGGACAACAGAGGGCTTAGCGCTGTTCTGTGGTATCCTGTCATGTATCCGGTCCCAGATAGTGTGTTTATATAATTTTTTTGTGTGTGTATAAGAGACTTTTTAACACAGACAAATTTGTCTCTCATTCTCCTCCACCTCTTCATGCGCTCGCCACCTCTAAACCCACGTTTCCTGTCATTTCTGTCCACAAATAAAATGCTTACTGCGCATCTTTTCACTCCTCCAGTCACGGGGGAATTAAAAGTTCATGTTTTTAGAGTTTTTCGCGAGGTATTCTTCAAGCTGCTCCGTGTCTGCCGCTTGTTAATCTCGGCTCTCTTTATGTTTTTGAGGGTGCAATGGTGGCGCTGTAGACAACAGCGGCATCCTGACCAATCACAAGCTTGCGTTGTCCATCTCGACTGATGGATGTTTAGAAAGGAGAGCTCGACTCCGTCCCTCCCTGCGGAGCTCTACGGCAGGCCCACAAGGACGTTGCGTGTCTCCGCACTGACGCAGACGGAGAAGCATGAATCAGGCATAAGTCCCTACACCCCCAGCAGGTCCCTGAGGTCCAGTGATCAAAGCCTACTGGTTGTGCAGCGCACCAGGCTAAAGACCAAAGGTGACAGATCATTTGCTGCTGTGGCCCCCAGACTCTGGAACTCTCTCCCCCTGAGCCTGAGATCAGTGGACTCAGTGGTCTCCTTCAAAAAGCAGCTGAAGACACACTTGTTCAAGATGGCTTTTGTATGACCTTCTTCACTACTCTTTATTCTGCTCTCCCCACCTATTCCACCTTCCTCAGGATCCACTGATTTCCCTCTTTCCTATTCACTCTCTCTCTTTCTTAACATTTTTTAAATCACAATTGTCTATTTTGGCTCATTTTAAATATATTTTTAAACATTTTCTAAATGCTTTTTTATATTTTTATATTTTTTGTTTTTGTGAAGCACCTCATGATTTTTATCTTGAGAGGCGCTATAGAAATGATATTTTCTTCTTCTTCTTCAAACATGCTTTTATTTACGGATTAACTGGTGTAATTACCCCATGCAGCCACGGGGTGGCATCAGAGAAACCATGGCAGACAAACTACAGTCATTCCCTTAGAAGATTTTGACTGAAACAACTTTACTTTTCCTTTAATCTTGAGGACATTCTATTTTTCGTTTGGGTAAATGTCTCAATTAGGTGCAGGAAAATGCAAATTAGAAGTGAAGCATCGTTAGTTATGTTGCCTTAGTGGGATCCTAAAAGGATTATTGTGTCCTGGATGACTGAGAACACTCACCAGCATTTCATCAGATTTGATATTCAGAAAGTTCTACTTGAAAGATGTCAATACCTAGAAAAGGCAAACACACACATACATAAACGTACAGATGTGTTTTTCCTGGGTGCGTCCTTTGAATATTTCATAAAATAAAAGGATTATTAGGACAGTGATGTGAATTCAAATGATCCCTCCACTCATCCACCCTGCTGCAGCTGTTTGTCATTATCTAGAAGTGCCCTGCAGAAAAACAGATGCAACAGCACCTGCTGTGAAAGTGCAGCTGTAATTAAAGGTGGATTTTTTTAAAATAGTGAAATAAAACCTGAGCCTGCAGGGAGCTGGAGAGACTTTGATGTGGATGGCTCGTGTTTGCTTCATGCTGAGAATATTTAGCTTGTAAAACTAAAAATGTTGCAAATGACGCATTCACGGGTAAACAGTTCAGTTTGAACCCCACAAGTGAAGTTTCTGTGGCTCCTTCAGGTGGTGTCTGGGATCAGCACCACGGACAGCGACTACATTGGAAGACTTCGTGTTTCTGTAGTGCCGCACTGACCCCTAGTGGTAGAAAGTGACACTAGCAGGAGTTAGACAGCTGAAAGGATTGTAGCCAGCCTACATAGGGGGGCTGCCAGAGATTTTGGGCCCGATGAAAAAATATCAAGTTGGGCCCCTGGGGGCTCGTCCATAGCTGGAGCTGGGGTTCCACCCTCCCAGATTCACAGGGAGAAAAAAATATAATATATATACATTATATTAGTGTTTCAGTTTTGCTTAATTATGTAGGTCTACATGCATTCTTACTTATTTACATATCATTTTCACCAGCTGTCTCTCATTAAACGGAGAATTTCCTTCAACAGAATTAGCCATATCACTGCTGGAAAAAGCAGGAAATGCACATGCTGAAAGGTGTTAATCTCCTTTTCCCTTTTACTCCCTTAAAACATGTTTATTTATTCTAAACTTTTATTTGATGATAAAATTCAAATCTGGATATCTAATTAAATTTCCATGTTGTGTCAAAGCTTTACATAACTACATTTTCAGCTGTCTTTCCTCTTGAAATCAAGTATTTCTGTATGACTGACAAAAATTAAGGATTCACTGCTCACAAGGTGACTTCTTTATTAAGTCTCCATGGCTTCATCATAGACACGAAATGAATAAGCACACAGTTTAATCCGGAGTCAGATAGGGTTACATAAAATTTTACAGTTGTATAACTTTGCATGAATACGTATATAAGTCTCTAGAAACGCATGTTTCTCAACAACAAAAAAACAGCTAAAATTATGTTCAGCCTTGATTGTACACAGCAAGATTTATTATTTACAGTGATATAATTAATAATGCTCCTGAGAGACATACTTAGTGACGGACTAAATAACAATGCTTCAACCTGCCCAGCATCCAAAACAATCTATACATTTTCACTTATTGATATATATACAATTATCATTATGTGGAAAAACAATGTGTTTATCACCAAAAATAGGCTTTTTATATTTATTTGTAATAGTATTGATATAAAAGAGAGCCTTAAGTGGTTCCCACAGACCCCCTTAAATGAGGCTGCTAGCTAGCATGCTACATTGCTCACCTTCTTGAGGTTCATTGGGTTGTGAGGGGACACCTGCTGACATCTCATCAGCTGCTGATTCTGGTAGGGACAAGGACGACAACCCATTTACCATAATTAGATGAAACATAGTTCATCTCACTGTGGATATCAAAGCTAGCAAACAGGTTCAATTTAACCACTCACTAACTAAACCCACCTTTCTTTGAGAAAAACTGTGTGACATACTGACGCCCTCTCTTCTGCCTGTCCTTTCTCCTTTCTTTCTTTCCTTTTCTGTGACCCAGACTTTGTTTTTGCAGACATATTTTTACTGCAGCCTTGACGCACTCTGCTGTCTGATTGCTGCATGAGCTGGTCTCGCCTGCTATGCGCCAGTGATGTGTCGGTCGCGAACGAACCGGCTCTAAGAGCCGGCTCTTTGAAGTGAATGACGGGAGCCGGCTCTTCATTGGGAGCCGCCCCCTCCCCTCTTGCTTTGGTGAAAGCTACAGGCGATTGGTCAGCATGTGTAACTGCGTGTCCAGACTGTCCACGCACAGAGCAGTAGGGGCGGGGAAGAGGGAGGATCAGACTCAGACACACAGCGGAGCACATGCAGGTGGAGGGAGACAAGAGGGAATGAGGAGGAGACAAAAGGCAAGCGAGAGAGGAGAATGCGACGAAGACCGTGAGAAAATGAGCGCCAGCAGCCAGAAAGTGGAGATTTCTTAAAGTGTTCAGTTAATAAATCCATAGAAATGATAAATATTTGATACATTGCATTTTTTACATTAGTAAATCATTTTAAATATAGTTTTGCATTATTTTGGTTATAAATGTACTCTACGCAACAGAAAATCTGAGGAGCCACTTGGGAACCGAAATGTCCGGCTCTTTTTGGTGAACTAAGCCAAAAGAACTGGCTCTCTAAAAAGAGCCGTAATTCCCATCACTAATACTCTTCCCTCGGCCAGGTGGACTGTACCGTTTTATGCCGTTAGGGGGGGGGGGGTTCAAATTAATTAGTCAAAATAAAGTAGGGACCTCTGAATAAATATACATTTCATAAAGACTAAAAGATTGTTTGTTTAATGTCTTACATGAGAAAAAATACTGCACAGTAAAGTACTTGTGATTTTTAAACTTTATTTATTTTTTATTCAACTTTGAAACTTTTTTGGGCCCCTGACAGCTGTGG